TCCCTGGCACGCACCGGATGTCACTGCGTCCGTCCACTGCTCCTCTGCGTGCCCCTTTGCCTTCTCCTCCTGCTTCCTCTCTTCCTGCTCTTGCCGACCCGGAGTCGGACTCTCTTCGTGCTGCCAGTCCTACTGTCACGCGTCTCCTTGCTACTGCTGTCACTGACCCTTCCTTCGAGTCGTCTGCTGCGTCTGCCCTTGTCACTGAGCTTGTCGACTTTGCTGCGCGCTGTCGTCTAGACTACGCTGCTCGTCTTGTCGCTGAGTCTGAGTCCGCCTGTCCTCCGTCCGTCGGGGGTGAGTGTGCCCTTGGCACGGACGTCCTAGAGGACAGGCAGGAGGAGTTCCAGTGTCTAGCCGCTGCTTCACCTCGTCTCGCGTCTGTACTGCTAGCCCCTGAGGGAGACCCGGATGCACTAGACATCCCGACTCCGCGTTCTTACGCGGAGGCCGTAGAGGGTCCCTACTCCTCTCAGTGGCAGGCAGCTATGGATGCAGAGATGGCTTCCTGGAAGTCCACAGGCACCTACGTTGACGCGGTTCCCCCTCCTGGGGCGAACATCGTCAGTGGCATGTGGATCTTCAGGGTGAAGCGGCCGCCGGGCTCGCCGCCTGTCTTCAAGGCGCGTTACGTGGCTCGTGGCTTCAGTCAGCGGCAGGGAGTTGACTACTTTCAGACCTTCTCTCCCACCCCGAAGATGACCACTCTTCGGGTGCTGCTGCACATTGCCGCTCAGCGCGACTACGAGCTTCACTCTCTCGACTTCAGCACTGCGTTCCTGCAGGGTAGCCTGCACGAGGAGATCTGGCTGCGCCGTCCGCCTGGCTTCACTGGGACTTTCCCTCCTGGTACCCAGTGGAGCCTCCGACGGCCAGTCTACGGTCTCCGCCAGGCACCGCGTGAGTGGCACGACACACTGAGGACTACGCTTGCGGCTCTTGGGTTTGCTCCTTCTACTGCTGACCCGTCGCTGTTTCTTCGCACCGACACTTCCCTGCCGCCGTTCTACATCCTCGTGTACGTCGACGACTTGGTCTTTGCCACAGCGGACACTTCTGGACTCGCCTACGTGAAGTCCGAGCTGCTGAAGAGACACACGTGCACAGACCTGGGTGAACTGCGCAGCTACCTTGGCTTGCAGATCACTCGGGACAGAGCACGCCGCACCATTACCCTGACTCAGTCACACATGGTGCAGCAGGTCCTTCAGCGCTTCGGCTTCACGTACTCCTCGCCTCAGGCCACTCCTCTGCCTACTCGCCACTCACTCTCAGCTCTGCCTTCGGATGAGTCCGTAGAGTCGAGTGGTCCGTATGCAGAGCTTGTTGGCTGCCTCATGTACCTGATGACCTGCACTCGACCTGACCTTGCATACCCTCTGAGCATCCTTGCACGCTATGTTGCTCCTGGGAGACACCGACCAGAGCACATGGCTGCAGCGAAGAGGGTATTGCGCTACCTGTGCAGTACGTCGGGCATGGGGCTAGTGCTTGGAGGGCGGAGTCCAGTGGTCCTTACTGGGCACGCAGACGCTTCTTGGGCTGACGACCAGGCTACGCAGCGGTCGTCACAGGGTTACACCTTCAGCCTTGGTTCCGGCTCTGTCTCGTGGCGGTCTACTCGCTCGTCTTCGGTTCTCGGCTCCAGTTGTGAGGCTGAGATCTACGCCGGGGCCATGGCTGCACAGGAGCTTCGCTGGCTCACCTACCTGCTGACTGACCTTGGAGAGCTGCCTCGTTCTCCTCCAGTGCTGTACGTAGACAACAAGGCCATGTTGGCCTTGTGTCGAGAGCAGCGCTTGGAGCACAGAACGAAGCACATTGCTCTCCGCTACTTCCTTGCTCGTGAGCTGCAGCAGCGTGGTCAGTTGCGACTTGCTTACGTGGCCTCTGAGGCCAACACTGCTGATGTGTTCACCAAGGCACTTGCGCCTTGCGACCATCAGCGCTTTTGTACCCAGCTGGGTCTTGTACCTGTCTTGCCTCACTTGCTCTCTTCTTGACTTTACTTGTACTTTGACATATATATACCTGCTCTTGCTTGTCTAGTTTTATATATATGTCTTTACTCCTGCATGTGAACTGGCCTCTGGCCTTGCTCTTGTGCTCGGACTGTGTGGTGACTTTGTGATCCACCCTGAGCTTGTTTTGCTTTGCTTGACTGGTCTTGTGACCCCTTGTTCTCCCCCACTTTGCCTATGGGGGTGTGTCAGATTATTATAGCTGATGCATGTTTGTAGGCTATAGTGGGGTAGCACATATGGGGTACAGTTTGCTAGGGTTGTATTTGTACCCAACTCTGACTTAGTCAATTCACTCCTCTGCTCATAGTTTCACATACTGGACTGACTGGCTCAACGGCTACCGAAGCAAGGGCGACGGACTACAGGCGCTGCAGGCGACACGACAGCTACCTCCGCACAACCTCCTCCAACTGACCCACACCCTTGACACACACCCCTTGCTGAACCCCTAACTCCACTCCCTCGTCACCCCCCCAGCACCACTCCTTCGGCTCCCACACACCCACCCCCCTGAGCGGTAGCTGCAGCAACGGGAGACGGAGGAGGAGGAGTAGGGGACGGGGCACACAACCAGCACCACCACAACCGCCACCCCCACACTCCCCACCCCCAAACCCTAAAACGGTTGGCACGGGGTAGGAGTGCGAGGGAAGGCGCGCGGCCCCCAGGGCGCCACCATGGGACAGCGAGGGGCCGCGCGCGGCCCCCCAGGGCGACGCGACGGGGCAGCGGGGGGGTCGCGCACGGCTCCAGGGGCGGCTCGCGGGTCCCCGGGGGCGACGCGAGGGTCGACGGGATGCCGCGCGCGGGTTAAGCAGGTCGACGCGACCGTCGACGGGGCAGCGGAGGGTCGCGCGCGGCTCCTCAGGGCGGCGCGACGGGGTGGCGGGGCGACTCGACCACCGACGGGGCAGCGGGGGCAGCGCGCGGGTCCCCCAGGGCGACGCGACGGACGGGGCGTGGGTGCGCGGGGGTCCCCCACGGTAGGAAACCGCCGCGCGCCTCGGGGCGCACAGCGGGCAGAAACTCGCCGCGCGCCCCGAGCGCACGGCAGAAAGAAGACGGCGCACGCCCTAGGCGCGAGAGAAGCAGAACAGCAGCGGAAGCAGTTAGGTGGCGGGCCCACCCACAAGATCGACCCAAAGGGGTCGACCTGCTCTGAAACCATGTGAAAGATAGCAAGCAGAAGCAGAATTGAAGAAAGGAGGAGGTTCACTAGCAAGCAGTTGGATACATATAGCAAACCCTAATTGGGTTGTACTCGCTATAGAGCACCACACTGCAGGCTAGATAATATAACATTCTGACAAATTTCACCTCATCATGCACCCGAGATGGACCGTGCTGGTGCTTACATCTCAAAGCATGATGCGGGTCTGCTGGGTCGACATGCGCTGTGCCACAAACACACCTCCCCGCCAGGGCCTACTTTTGGATTCTAGGTACTCTGATTTCCAGGAGCAAATCTAGGCACGTCAGAGTAATATTTTCTCTACTCTGATGTTGGTTAAGTTTGTTGTATGAAAGTTTTTGTTACGCCTTTTGTGCTTGCACTATGTTTCATTTCTGCGTCGCCCACGTTTCCCCCCTCAGTGCGTTGTTTCCAAGTGAGGTGTTGGCACCGATAATCTGACTCAAGGAGAGGGAGGGGAGTGGCTGACATGTGCGCTGGTTGAGAAGTTGTGAAACTTTTGTAGCCAATCAACGCTCATATTGCCCCCAACACACGACCGAAATCAGGATAATAATCTCAACGATTCGGGGAAAACCCGCTAAACGTGGGGAGGGGGAGGGGGGGAGGGGGGTGGGTGGGTTTCGGCTAGGGGGCATGTATTCCCTATACATAGTAAATTCGGTCCCTGAAAAAAAACCCCAGAGACCTCAGAGTAACCTACAGCATAACTCTGACAAATCAGAGAAATCTTAAGTTCCAAAAAAAAAACCCAGCGGGTACAGAGTTACTTTAAAAAATGACTATGATTTTCAGAGAAACAGAGTAATTTACTCTGATAACGTGGGGCCTGCTCCCCGCAACCTGCAGCTGCTGAATTGGGAGCCCGAGCCGTATAGCAGCAGCAATGCCCCACTCCGCCGCAGTGAATGTGAGATCTGAGTGAGCCGGGACCGCCGAAACCCATGCACCAGCCCCCGGGCCCTGAAGGGATGTGAAACGGGTCAGGGTGGCATCGTCACGAGCCGAGCGACGCAGTGCCTGGAGCTCCTCTACAGCCAACTGACGCTGCCGCGCCTGGAAAAGTCGTAACTTGTTCTGTTTCTGTCACATTTCAGAAGTATGATTAGCGTGGAAAATGTGTTTGAGAAGCGAGAATTAATCTACAATGAGAAATTCAGGTTGAGTATGGATGCAAACCGCCTCTGGCATTATTTGAGTGTCAATGATGTTGGCCGACATAATTTCCCATCCCCTTTATTAACACCGCCAAAGTGCGTGTCAACGGGCCTCCGCGCCCCTCGCTGAACCCAGCCATGTATAACCATTCCACCCCGCCCCTCCCCAGTAGGCTCCACTCCACCTTGCCTCCGCCCCTTCCCCTCCACACTGGTGTCGGACGTCCCCCCAGCCTATCTCCCCCGTTCCCCCACCTCCCCAGACCTCAAGCAAGTCCGTTTACAACAGTTCCTGCCAATATATAAACGAACATCGGCTTCTCATTCTTCATTTTCCAGTTTCCTTCCACCTCGTTCATAGGTGAACTGAAGCGGGCTATCGAGCTACAGGCCTCTCGAGCCTAGCTGTGGATGGTAGCTGGTAAATAAGGATTACGCAGGTCTGATCCCGGTCGATCGAGACCGCTACGACCTGTTTACGATTTTTGACATAGTTTACTAGCATCCGTCGCCTCAATTTTCACTAGGAAACCCTAATTGGTGTAGAAAAGGAGATTATTATAGAGGCGGAGACCAGAAGCTTGCGGACCAGACGCCGCCAGAGCCGAAGCCGCCGGAGCCGCCGCGATGGAGCAGCGGTTCGGGTTTTCGCCGGCGGAGGTGGCGAAAGTGAAGACGGTGCAGTTCGGCGTGCTCAGCCCGGATGAAATCGTACGTCGCGCTGCGACCGAAATAGCCTTTTCGCTGATAAGCTCGCCATTTGACTCTAGCCTACGTTCCGTCAGGCGTAGAAATGATTATTTTTTAAGTCGGACGAGCGTCGTGTTGGTTGTGCAACTGTTTGTCAGCTGGGAGATTGTGGCGAATCCAGTAGCTTCGTTACCCGTTCGTTTCGCCATTGGCGTTGGGAATGCTGATCCATTCGCCATTTTTCGTGGCCATGGGGTGCAATAAAGTAGGTTCATGGCGACAGCTTGACATAGGTTACGACGAGAAGTCTCTCTAAGTATGGATATACTGAAAGTATATTAGGCCGGAATGTTTTATAGCGGCAGCTTAACAAATATTACGGTGAGAACGTCGGCTGTGTTTGTCAGCTGTCCCGCAATCAATTCTTTTGTGACGCATGCCACTGTCCTGGCCTTGAATCGCCGCAGCTGCGACAAGCACTGATCGTTTCCGCCTCTCCACCCGCTCCCCAAATTATCCCTGCGATACCCATCCCTCGTGCGACACCCACCAGCGTCGCATGTCCGTCGTCCAAATCGACACGAGCGACCTGTACGACCGGGGAAAACCACGCGAAGGCGGGCTGAGCGACCCGCGCCTGGGCACGATCGACCGGAGCGTCAAGTGTCTGACGTGTCAGGGCGGCATGGCGGAGTGTCCCGGGCACTTCGGGCATCTGGAGCTGGTGCGGCCCATGTTCCACATCGGCTTCATCAAGGTCGTCCTCACGCTGCTGCGCTCCGTCTGCCACAACTGCTCGCGCATCCTCGCCGACCCGGTGAGTCGAGGGGGACGTCTGGGTTGGGTGTCTTCTGGGTTCGTCTCACGTGCCATTTGTTTGTCTGGTACCTTTACCAACTCGCACATGCCCGCGATTCTCCCCCCCCCGCCCTTCCGCCCGTCTCCTTCCCCCTTTCTCCCTCCATCCGCGCCCCTTACCCCTTCCCCTTCCTTCCCCCCCCACTTTTCTCCCCCCCCCTCTTCTATTCATTCCTTCCCCCCCCCTCCGCCTCAGAACGATTACCGGTACAAGATGGCGCTGCGAGTGCGCAACCCGAAGCAGCGCCTGCGCCGCATGTACGAGTGCTGCCGCACGCGCTCCGTGTGCGCCGCAGACACGCCCCCCGAAGGCACCGAGGATGGCGCCGACCCTGCCAACCCGGACGGGGAGGACTTTGACGACCCTGAGCGCAAGGTTCGGCGCGGCGGGTGCGGGGCCACCCAGCCTAAGTACACGATCGATGGGATGAAGATCATGGCTGAGTTCAAAGCGCCGAAGAGGGGGAGGAATGAGATGGAGGAGGAGGAGCAGATAGAACCGACCGAGAGGAAGCAGCAGATGTGGCCTGACCGGGTGCTGAGCATTCTGAAGCGCATAACAGACGAGGATTGCGAGCTTCTCGGGCTGAATCCCAAATACGGCCGCCCGGACTCGTTCATCCTGCAGGTGCTGCCGGTGCCGCCGCCGCCCGTGCGGCCGTCCGTAATGATGAGCAGCTCGGCACGTAGCGAGGACGACCTAACCTACCAGCTGGTGATGATCATCCGACAAAACGAATATGTAAAAAAGCAGGAGGCGAACGGCATGGCAGCGCACGTGATCAACGACCAGCTGCAGATCCTGCAGTTCTACATCGCCACCTACTTTGACAACGACCTGCCGGGGCAGCCCCGAGCCACTCAGCGGTCGGGGCGGCCGATCAAGTCGATCTGTGCGCGGCTGAAGGCGAAGGAGGGGCGCATTCGGGGGAACCTGATGGGGAAGCGGGTGGACTTTTCAGCGCGGACGGTGATCACGCCGGACCCGAATATCAATATTGACGAGCTGGGCGTGCCGTGGAGCATTGCTCTCAACCTCACGTACCCGGAGACTGTCACGCCCTACAACATTGACAAGTGAGCATGTGTGCGTGCGCGAATGTTTCCCTTCTATTGCTTCGTACTCTCTATCCAGCTTTCTCATGCTCGTCTCTGATCCGTTCTTTGCCCTCTCACCTCACTCGCTCCACGTTGCAAGCGCTCTTGGATAACGGCTCTACTCCCCTTGGGGCACGACAGGCTCTTCTGTTTCATTATCCTCTCGCCTTCAATGCTCTCCCCTCTTCCTAATGTCTCCTACTACCCACCCCCTTACAACCGCCTTTCAGGCTGCGGGAGCTGGTGTATAACCCTCCCCCCCCTCCCCCCCTCCACACACCCTCCACCCCCCCTCTTTCCCGGAAAAACATGCGCCGATGCTGCCTCACCGGGTCATCCTCTCCCCTCTTCTCCCTGTCCTCTGCCTTATGCCCTTGTCCTTTCTTGAATCTCTCTCTCAGGCTGCGGGAGCTGGTGGAGAACGGCCCGCACCCCCCACCGGGCAAGACAGGCGCCAAGTACATCATCCGAGAGGACGGGCAGCGGCTGGACCTGCGGTACCTCAAGAAGACCAGCGACCGGCATTTGGAGCTGGGATACAAGGTAGGGTGGTTGGGCCGTCGTTAGTAATAAAAGTCTCTGAGAGGGAAGCACGTTGTGTTAAAAGTGGACAGCCATGCCGTCGTTTCAGAAGACGGCCATCATGAATGGGCAACAACTCCTCCTCTCTCCTTGCCCGCTTCCCCCACCCCTCGTTCCTTCCTCTCTTTCTCTCTCATCGCTTCCTCACTTCTCTCGTTCCCCCTCTCCCTCCCTCTCTCAACCAGGTGGAGCGGCATCGAGGACGATTTCGTGCTGTTCAACCGGCAGCCGTCGCTGCGCAAGATGTCCATCATGGGGCACTCCTCTCTCTCCTCACCTGGGTCTCTTGGCGTTCCTCTCCCCCTTTCCTCCCCTCACGAACCCCAACCAGGTGGAGCGGCACTTGGTGGAGGGCGACTTTGTGCTGTTCAACCGGCAGCCGTCGCTGCACAAGATGTCCATCATGGGGCACCGCATCCGCATCTTCCCCTGGTCCACCTTCCGCCTCAACCTCTCCGTCACGTCGCCCTACAACGCTGATTTCGACGGCGACGAGATGAACATGCACGTGTGCCAGAGCTTTGCCACGCGCGCCGAGACGAGCGAGCTCATGCTCGTGCCCAAGTGCGTGGTGTCGCCTCAGAGTAACCGCCCTGTCATGGGCATCGTGCAGGACTCGCTGCTGGGCTGCCGCAAGATCACCAAGCGAGACACGTTTATTGAAAAGGTGAGCGCGTGGTGAGAGTGTGTGAAGTGCGAGTGTCACTTCTGGGAGCTTTCATGAGGCATTATGCAGGACGTTTTGAGTCGACTCAAAACACACCTTTCATGAGGCATTATGCAGGACTCGCGGCTGGGGTGTTGGAAGTTCACCAAGAGGGACACTCAACTCATCGCACTTTCCCCCTCACTGCCCCTTTCCTCCCCACCCCCACCCACCCCTCTCTAGGACGTGTTTATGAACATCCTCATGTGGTGGGAGGACTTTGACGGCAAGCTGCCCATCCCGGCCATCCTGAAGCCGCGGCCGCTGTGGACGGGCAAGCAGGTGTTTTCGCTCTTCATCCCGCGCGCCATCAACCTCGTGCGCTTCTCCGCCTGGCACCCCGATGGCGAGGTGGGCGACATGTCGCCGGGCGATACTGTGGTGCGCGTGGAGCAGGGTGAGGTGCTCGCGGGCATTCTTTGCAAGAAGAGCATGGGCAGCGCGGCGGGGGGGCTCGTGCACACCATCTGGTGCGTGCGGCTGGGTCTGCTGTGCTGTGGTGTTGCTTCTTGGGGGTTTGGGGGAAAGTGGAAACGGCTGCATATCCATCCTTCCTTCTCTTCATCCCTTCAGTGTCGCTCCAAACTCTGGAATCTCCTGCTTTGTCCTTCCTTCCCCATTCACAGGGAGGAGGTGGGTTCGGGGGCGTTTCCCTTCCTGACTGATTCCACTCTTCCTTCTTCCCATCCCCATCCCACAGGGAAGAAGTGGGTCCAGACGCGGCGCGCAAGTTCCTGGGGCACACGCAGTGGCTGGTGAACTACTGGCTGCTGCAGCAGGGCTTCAGCATCGGCATTGGCGACACCATTGCGGACGCGAGCACGATGGAGACGATCAACGAGACGATCGCCAAGGCCAAGGACGAGGTCAAGGAGCTCATCCGCAAGTGGCAGGACAAGGAGCTCGAGCAGCAGCCCGGCCGCACTCTCAGGGAGTCGTTTGAGAACCGAGTCAACCAGGTGGGTGGAAGAGAGGGAAGCAGGCGAGGAGAGGGAAGCAGGTGAGGAGAGGGAAGCAGGCGAGGAAGTGAAGTATTTGCAATCATCGTTCCTGCAATATTTTTACACTGAGAGGGTCAAGCCAGCATGAGGAACCTCTTTTGCGTGACCTCTTTTCCCTCCCTCCCCCGCCACCCCGATTCCTCTCCACAGGTGCTGAACAAGGCTCGTGACGATGCCGGGCGAGCAGCGCAGGGCAGTTTGTCGGAAATGAACAACGTGAAGGCGATGGTGACGGCGGGCAGCAAGGGGTCGTTCATCAACATCTCGCAGATGATTGCCTGCGTGGGCCAGCAGAACGTCGAGGGCAAGCGCATCCCCTACGGCTTCGTCGACCGCACTCTACCGCACTTCACCAAGGACGACTACGGCCCCGAGTCCCGCGGCTTCGTGGAAAACTCCTACCTGCGAGGACTCACCCCTCAGGAGTTCTTTTTCCACGCCATGGGTGGTCGGGAGGGTCTGATAGACACGGCGGTCAAGACGTCCGAAACGGGGTACATTCAGAGGCGGCTGGTGAAGGCCATGGAGGATCTGATGGTGAAATATGATGGCACTGTGAGGAACTCACAAGGCGATGTGATTCAGTTTTTGTACGGCGAGGATGGCATGGACGCCGTGTGGATCGAGAGCCAGAAGCTCGACTCCATGAAGATGGACAAGAAGAAGCTTCTGAGAACTTACGCGTACGAGGTGGACGAGCAGGGCGACGCGTGGGACCCGACAGACTACATGCCGGCAGCGGCAGCAGAGGAAATTAGATCCATCGAGGCGCTGCGCTTCGTGCTGCGGGCGGAGATGCTGCAGCTGGAGAGGGACCGGCGCGTGCTGGGGCGCGACATTGCCCCGTCAGGCGACGCCACGTGGCCCATGCCCGTGAACCTGAAGCGCCTCGTGTGGAACGCGCAGAAGATGTTCCGCATCGACACGCACAAGCCGTCGGATCTTTCCCCGCTGGACGTGATCGACGCTGTGGATAAGCTGCAGCAGCGCCTCATGGTGGTGGTGGGCGACGACCCGCTGTCCCGGGAAGCCCAGGAGAACGCCACTCTGTTTTTCAAGATCCTGCTGCGCTCCACGCTGGCCAGCAAGCGCGTGCTGCAGGAGTTCCGGCTGTCGCGGGAGGCGTTTGACTGGGTGGTGGGCGAGGTGGAGTACCGCTTTCTGCAGTCGCAGGCCGTGGCGGGCGAGATGATCGGGTGCGTGGCGGCGCAGAGCATCGGCGAGCCCGCCACGCAGATGACTCTCAACACCTTCCACTTCGCCGGTGTCAGCGCCAAGAACGTGACGCTGGGCGTGCCGCGGCTGAGGGAGATCATCAATGTGGCGAAGAAGAACAAGACGCCCGCCCTCACCGTGTACCTGGGCCCGCACGTGGACCAGACCGACCGGGATGGCGCCAAGGAGGCCGCCAAGAACGTGCAGGTAAGGAGCGTGGGTGGTATGTGTTCGGTTTGCAATGTGTGGTTTGCAATGTGCGGTGCGGTGTGCGATGCGATGTGTGGTATGTGGTGCTGTGTCTGTCACTGGCTTGGGCTGGCCTGGTATCAAGCCCGTGTTGTGCTCCCAATCACGCAGTTGCACCCTCTTCTCATCACACTTGTCTCAACCCGCTCTCCCCGTTTCTAATCAGGTGGAGCTGGAGTACACGACGCTGCGCAGCGTGACGGAGGCAACAGAGATCTGGTACGACCCGGACCCGATGACAACGGTGATAGAGGAGGACCTGGAGACGGTGCAGTCCTACTTTGAGATGCCGGACGAGGGGCTGGACCTGGACAAGATGAGCCCGTGGCTGCTGCGCATCGAGCTCAACCGCGAGATGATGGTGGACAAGAAGCTCACCATGGAGGCCATCGGCGACAAGATCTCCAAGGAGTTCGACAAGGACTTGACTTGCATCTTCTCCGATGACAATGCTCCGAAGCTCATTCTTCGCATCCGCATTCTCAACGAGGAGGCGGCCAAGGGCGGCGCGGGGGGCGGGGCGGAGGGGGAGGAGCTGAGTGCGGACGACGACGTGTTTCTGAAGCAGGTGGAGGGCAACATCCTCACGGAGATGTCTCTTCGCGGCATCGAGGCGATCAAGAAGGTGTTTATTCGCGAGCTGAAGCACCAGCAATTCCACGAGGAGAAGGGGTTTGTGACGCACGCGGAGTGGGTGCTGGACACGGAGGGCGTGAGCATGCTGGAGGTGATGGCGCACGAGGAGGTGGACCCCGCGCGCATCCGCAGCAACTACCTCATGGAGGTGTTTGAGGTGCTGGGCATCGAGGCCGTGCGCAACACGCTGCTCAAGGAGCTCCGTGACGTCATCTCCTTCGACGGCTCGTATGTCAACTACCGGCACCTGGCCATTTTGTGCGACGTGATGAGCTACCGCGGGCATCTCATGTCCATCACGCGCCACGGCATCAACCGAAACGACACGGGGCCCATGATGCGCTGCTCCTTTGAGGAGACAGTAGATATCTTGCTCGATGCCGCCATTTACTCCGAGGCGGACCGGCTCAAGGGCGTGTCTGAAAATATCATGCTTGGGCAGCTCTGCCCGCTGGGAACGGGCAGCTTCGATCTTTACATGAACGAGGCGATGCTAAAGCATGCCATCGAGCTGCAGCTGGATGCTGCCGCCGGCATGGGCGGCATGGGTGGCATGGGGGCGGCGGCGTTCGGCATGACTCCGGCGCGCTCCCCCGGGCCTAACGCCACGCCGTATCATGAGATGGCAATGTCCCCGAGCTACCTCCTCAGTCCCAACTTCCGAGCCTCGCCCGCAGCTTCGGACGCGCAGTTCTCACCGTACGTTGGAGGTTTGGCGTTCTCCCCCGGCCGATCGCCCAACTACAGCCCCACCTCCCCCAGCTACAGCCCCCAGTCCCCCGGCTACAGCCCCACCTCCCCTGCTTATTCCCCCACCAGTCCCTCCTATACCCCTGACTCCCTCACCTACTCGCCCACCTCCCCCAACTACAGCCCCACCTCCCCCAGTTACTCCCCCACATCTCCCAGCTACAGCCCCACGTCTCCTGCCTACTCCCCCACCTCCCCCAGCTACAGCCCCACCAGCCCCAGCTACAGCCCTGCTTCACCCGCCTACTCGCCTTCCAGCTACAGCCCCACCTCCCCCAGCTACAGCCCAACCAGCCCCGCCTACAGCCCCACCTCCCCCAGTTACTCCCCCACTTCCCCCAGTTACTCCCCCACTTCCCCCAGTTACAGCCCAACTTCCCCAAGCTACAGCCCTACCTCCCCCGGCTACAGCCCCACCAGCCCCAGCTACAGCCCCACCTCCCCCAGTTACTCCCCCACCTCGCCAGGCTACAGTCCCACCTCCCCCAGCTACAGCCCGACCAGCCCGGCCTACTCGCCCTCCTCCCCGCGCTACAGCCCCTCCTACAGCCCCACGTCGCCCGCCTACTCGCCCACCAGCCCCGGCTACAGGTGAGCCTCGTCTCACGCCCCTCGTCTGACCTGCTTGCCCTTTTGGTAACGCCTTTCAAGCTAGATATTGTTTTCGTTTTTTTTTTTGTTTACCTTTTTTTTCATGTATGCCTTTTTTTTTCACAATTCTGGTTTCCTTCTAGCCTCTCCTTTGAGTCCCTCCCATTTTTAGAAAATATTATGATTTTCCAACCTTTTTTTACCATCTAGTTATGCATGGCCGTACATTTTGTTTTCTGTTGGGCACAGAATGCTCATTTGGCTGATGCATGTCTTCTCACACATCCACCGACATTCTTCAATCCTCTCTTTCTCACCCCTTCCCTCCCACCCCATCCTCCCACTTCTTTCTTGCAGCCCAACATCCCCCTCCTACTCCCCCACCTCTCCATCCTACTCACCCTCAGCCCCGTCCTACTCGCCTGCGCCCCCCACCTACTCTCCCTCGCCCGCCTATTCGCCTACCTCCCCTTCCTATTCCCCCACGTCCCCCTCCTACTCCCCCACCTCGCCCTCCTATTCCCCCACCTCCCCCTCTTACTCTCCTACAACCGCCACTCCCTCTGCTGCCACTCCCTCTGGAGGTGCCTCCACCGCCCCCAACTACTCGCCAACGAGGTACGGCGTTGCATTGGCACTGCCACCACTGCCACCACTCCGCCCCACCATTCCCACCTCTTCTGTTGCACCATAATCTCACTCACCATCTCCTCCCCATCCATCGCCCCCCTGCTGCAGCCCTGCATACACGCCAAGCGGCTCTGCCTACAGCCCCACGTCTCCCCAGTTCACGTAAGTGCCGCCTCTCTCCTGCCTCCAGCCATCCGCTCTTCGCCTTCCACCTTTTGCTCAGCTGTATCCGCCTCCTGTTAGCCCTGTCTTTCCATAAACGCTGCCTGCCCTTAATCTGGATCTCCCTCACCCCCCCTTGCCCACTCCCTCCTAACTTGTTTCCTCTCCAAATATCCCGTTTTTTTTTTTTTCCAACCCTCACCAGCCCCACCAGCGGCACTCCCTCGAGTGCCCCACAGACATCGCCAGGGGCAGGCAGCACTGCTGCCACTCCCAAGGAGGAGAACTAGAGGCGGGTGCTTCAGGGGCCAGGTTCCGGAATTGTGTTTTTATTTGAAAATGGGGCCGGTTTCTGCTTGATACTGTACTTGCAATGAGGGATGACAGTGCAGGAAACGGTGAGAAAACCCCATCGCTTGGGTGGGAAATCTGCAATGACGACCGTGCTGGAAGCTGTGCACATGCGATTCCCGATGCATGGATTGTTGAGTGCCTAACACGTGTTGTGTTGTTGAGGAGCAGGGTGCGAGAGTGGGGAAAGAGATGTTTTGGCCAGCAGTTTTTGCTTGTACACAACCACATTAGACTGAAAAATAAGGGATGCAGATAAGTTGTTCTTTTGTCATGTGCCTTATGAATAAGAAATGCAAGACTTCCAAAGCCAGCCTCACAATAGTCATCCTTGTAAGTTTGGCCATCAGTGTTAAAGAAGGTAGCTAGGAATTTTTTACTATTGAGTGAGTTGGGTACAAGGATGAGAACCCTAAGGGGATGTACCCTACATTGACTACCCCACTACAGCCTACACCTAATTATAAACTATATATAGTTTGACACACCCCTAAAGGCTAAGTGGGGGAGAACAAGGGGTCACAAGACCAGTCAAGAAAAGCAATGCAAGCTCAGGGTGGATCACAACGTCACCACACACTCCGAGCACAAGCAAGAGGGCCACAAGGCCAGTTCACATATAGAGGTATATATGCAACAACAGTACCGTAAGCCCCCGGATGGAAGCGCAGGCCTCGGATAAGCGCCTGTCAGAACATTGTAGCTTATGCTATAGTGGGGTATCCCATAGGGGGTACAACCCAATTAGGGTTAGTACTTGTACTCACTTCATTCATAGTTCATTCATTTTCTCGTTCTAACTTTCACATGGTATAGAGCAGGTTCCCTCGTGGGAACTGTTCCTGGGCCCACCGATTCGATTTTTTTTCTGCCCGGAGCGCGCTCAGTCCCTTCCCGAGTCGCGCTCCGTGGATCTCTCCTCTCACGGCCCCTAGCGGACCCGTCGCGCCACCCGTCGACCCCGCGCGCCGCCTGTGCGGCTCCTGGTGCCACCCGTCGACCCCGCGCGCTGCCCTAGCGGCCCACCCTGCACCACCCGTCGACCCCGCGCGCCGCCCTAGCGGCCCCCTGCGCCACCCGTCGACCCAGCGCGCCGCCCTAGCGGCCCCTCCCCTGCGCCGCCCGTCGGCCCAGCGCCGCCCTGCACCGCCCGTCGACCCGTCGGCCCCGTGCGCCACCCGTCGACCCCGTGCGCCACCCGTCGACCCAGCGCGCCGCCCTAGCGGCCCCTCCCCTGCGCGGCCCGTCGGCCCAGCGGCCCCCTGCGCCGCCCGTCGACCCGTCGGCCCCCTGCGCCACCCGTCGACCCAGCGCGCCGCCCTAGCGGCCCCCTGCGCCACCCGTCGACCCAGCGCGCCGCCCTAGCGGCCCCCAGCGCCACCCGTCGACCCAGCGCGCCGCCCTGGCGGCCCCCCCTGCGCCACCTGTCGACCCCGCGCGCCACCCCTGCGGTCCCAGCCGCCCTTGCCTGCGGTCCCTGCCGCCACCTGCGGCCTTGCCGCCCTCACTTGCGGCCCAGCCGCCTTCCCTGCGGCCCCGTCACCTGCTGCAGCGCCGCCCGCCACCTGAGCCGCCCGGGCTGCCTCACCTCGCCGAGCAGCAGACCGCCGCGCCGCCCTGCAGCAGCACGGCCGAGCCGCCCAGCAGCTGTGCAGCCGGGCAGCCGAGCCGCCCAGCGACCGAGCAGCCGAGCCGCCCAGCAACCGAGCCGCCGTGCAGCCGAGCCGCCGAGCCGCACTGCAGCCGAGCCGCCAGCAGCCGAGCCGCCCAGCAGCCGAGCCGCCGAGCCGCCGAGCCGCCCAGCAGCCGAGCCGCCCTACCTCCGAGCAGCATGAGCAGCCCCGTCCGGTGAGCACAGTACCTCTTTTACTGCACTGCTCTCTCCCTACTGTTGCACTGCCTGTCTACTATCGTCATGGCTACTCCTAGTGTCCTCGCTTTTGATGCTGAGGGTTGAGCCATCGACTTTGACGTCTGGGTAGATGACCTACAGCTGTTCTTACAGTGCGATAGTGCAGACGGTCTCTCTCTCTTTGACCTCACCTCTGGCGCCTCTGTTGCCCCTGCTGCTGATACTGACGCCACTGTTCGCTCCCAGTGGGCCACGCGCGATGCTGCTGCACGCCTTGCTGTGCGTCGCCACCTCCCTACCTCCGAGCGTGTGCACTTTAATCAGTACAAGAGTGCTCAGACCTTGTACGACGCTGTAGTTGCACGCTACTCCTCCCCTTCCACTGTTGCACTGAGCCGTCTCATGCTACCGTACCTCTTCCCTGACCTTGCTGCCTTTCCCACAGTCGCTGACCTCATTACGCACCTCCGCACTAGTGACACTCGCTACCGCGCTGCGCTTCCTGCTGACTTCTGCACCAAGAACCCCCCCCCCCATGTACATCACTCTCTACTACTTAGTCACTCGCCTCCCTGACTCCTTTCGCGTAGTCAGGGACCACTTTCTCTCTGTCTGTCCCACCACTCTCACTGTTGACCTCCTCGAGAAGTCCCTCCTAGCGGCCGAGAAGAGCATAGTCGCTGTAGGGGCCTCTCGTGGTGACCCGCGCACCCCCATCTTTGAGGGGTGTTCCCCCTCCCCCCTTCTGCCCTCTGTTGCCTCTGCTGCTACGGCCGACCTCCTTGGGCTTGAGTTGGTCGGTGCGGCGTCTGCCCCTAGCGGGCGACGTCACTCTGGCAAGAGCAAGGGGGGCAGGGGCACTGGAGGAGCGAGCGGGGGCGGTGGAGGTGGAGGCGGCGGGGGGAGTGGGGGTGGCGGTGGGAGTGGAGGTGGGGGTGGAGGTGTCGGTGGCGGCAGTGGAGGCGGAGGCGGCGGCGGCGGTGGCAGTAAAAGCGGAGGTAGCGGAGGTGGTTGAGAAGATATGAACGAGAATGAATGCAGTATGAAAGAAGAGAGTACAAGTACTAACCCTAATTGGGTTGTACCCCCTATGGGATGCCCCACTATAGCCTACACAAAATGTAAAAGCTACAACATTCTGACACACCCCCATAGGCAAAGTGGGGGAGAACAAGGGGTCACAAGACCAGTCAAGCAAATCAAAGCAAAGCAAGCTTAGGGTGGATCACAACGTCACCACACAGTCCGAGCACAAGTTCAGGGCCACAGGGCCAGTTCACATGCAGGAGTATAGATATATAAAAGCTAGACAAGCAAAAGCAAGTATAAATATAGGCAACAGTACAAGCAGCATCAAGAGGTGAGCAAGTGAGGCAAGACAGGCACAAGACACAGCTGCGTACAGAAGCGCTGATGATCACAAGGCACAAGTGCCTTGGTGAAGACATCAGCAGTGTTGGCCTCAGAGGCCACGTAGGCAAGCCGCAACTGACCAAGTTGGTGTAGCTCACGAGCAAGGAAGTAGCGAAGAGCAATGTGCTTTGTTCTGTGCTCCAGTCTCTGCTCTCGACACAAGGCCAGCATGGCCTTGTTGTCTACATACAGGACTAAAGGAGAACGAGGCTGCTCTCCAAGGTCGGTCAGCAGGTAGGTGAGCCAGCGAAGCTCCTGTGCAGCCATGGCCCCTGCGTAGATCTCAACCTCACAACTGGAGCCGAGAACAGAAGACGAACGAGTAGCCCGCCACGAAACAGAGCCGGAACCAAGGCTGAAGGTGTAACCCTGTGACGACCGCTGCATAGCCTGGTCGTCACCCCAAGAAGCGTCCGCGTGCCCAGTGAGGACCACTGGACTCCGCCCTCCAAGCACTAGCCCCATGCCCGACGTACTGCACAAGTAGCGCAACATCCTCTTCGCTGCAGCCATGTGCTCTGGTCGGTGTCTCCCAGGAGCAACATAGCGTGCAAGAATGCTAAGAGGGTATGCGAAGTCAGGTCGAGTGCAGGTCATCAGGTACATGAGGCAGCCAACAAGCTCTGCATACGGACCACTCGACTCTACGGACTCATCCGAAGGCAGAGCTGAGAGCGAGTGGCGAGTAGGCAGAGGAGTGGCCTGAGGCGAGGAGTACGTGAAGCCGAAGCGCTGAAGGACCTGCTGCACCATGTGTGACTGAGTCAGGGTAATGGTGCGGCGTGCTCTGTCCCGGGTGATCTGCAAGACAAGGTAGCTGCGCAGTTCACCCAGGTCTGTGCACGTGTGTCTCTTCTGCAGCTCGGACTTCACGTAGGCGAGTCCAGCAGTGTCAGCTGTGGCAAAGACCAAGTCGTCGACGTACACGAGGATGTAGAACGGCGGCAGAGAGGTGTCAGTGCGCAGAAACAGCGACGGGTCGGCAGTAGAAGGAGCAAACCCAAGAGCCGCAAGCGTAGTCCTCAGTGTGATGTGCCACTCACGTGGCGCCTGGCGGAGACCGTAGACTGGACGCCGAAGACTCCACTGGGTACCAGGAGGGAAAGACCCAGTGAAGCCAGGTGGGCGGCGCAGCCAGATCTCCTCGTGCAGGCTGCCCTGCAAGAAAGCAGTGCTGAAGTCGAGAGAGTGCAGCTCGTAGTCACGGTGAGCAGCAATGTGCAGTAGTACCCGAAGAGTGGTCATCTTCGGGGTGGGGGAGAAGGTCTGAAAGTAGTCAACTCTCTGTTGCTGACTGAAGCCACGAGCCACGTAACGCGCCTTGAAGACAGGCGGAGAACCCGGAGGCAGCTTCACCCTGAAGATCCACATGCCACTGACGATGTTCGCCCCAGGAGGGGGGACAGCGTCAACGTAGGTGCCTGTGGACTTCCAGGAAGCCATCTCTGCATCCATAGCTGCCTGCCACTGAGAAGAGTAGGGACCCTCTATTGCCTCCGGGTAAGAGCGCGGAGTCGGGATGTCAAGTGCATCCGGGTCTCCCTCAGGGGTAAGCAGTACGGACACAAGATGAGGTGAAACAGCAGCCAGACACTAGAACTCCTCCCGCCTGTCCTCGGACGTCCGTGCCAAGGGCACACTCACCCCCGACGGACGGAGGACAGACAGACTCAG